AGGCCAAAAAAGTGAAAAAGTATATTTTAACAAAACGCATTTGACTAGAATGTAAAAAAACGGATGTTCTTAAACCCTGCTAAACGGTTTTGTTACATCTGGTGATCCGTTTATTTGGCAATCGCCAATGGCAGTCATCAGGGTTTTAGAAGATCCGTTGTTCGACCTGCTAGTCAAATGCGTTTTGTTAAAATATACTTTCACTTTTTTGGTCTTTTGGAAATTGTTGTTTGTGCTGTATTTAGACCCATCTACCAAGAAATTTGTTTTGCATACACACACGTATAAGAATTGCGGTTTTTATCCAACGCAATCATAGGTTTGAACGTTGTTTTCAATTTAGACTTGTTAATTTATATATATATTCAAGAGTCTATCCTAAATTGAGGAAAATTATATGGCCTTCCAAATACAGTTTCGATCCCTAACTTCACTGAAGAGACATTAATAGTCAGAATCCGGATATGGTGTAAAAATTTTTGCACCTCATGTTTGTGGAATACCATCTTTTCCACAAGTTTATTGCGTTTGGGCTTGTATTATATTTTCCTTAGGGTTTATATGATCCGTTCATCCTATTTCGACTGTTTAAAATTCAAGAGTCTATCCTAAATTGAGGTAAATTATATGGCCTTCCAAATACCGTTTCGATCCCTAACATCACTAAAGAGACATTAATTGTCGAAATCCGGATATGGTGTACAAATTGTTGCACTTCATGTTTGTGGTATACGATCTTTTCCACAAGTTTATTGTTTTCTGTTTGGTATTAAATTAATATTAAGATCTATTTCGTTAGATCTGGTGATCAATTTATTTGGCAATCGCCAATGGCAGTCAGCAGGGTTTAAGAACATCAGTTGTTCGACCTGTTAGTCAAATACGTTTTGTTAAAATAGACTTGTTCACTTTTTTGGGTCTTATTGGAAATTGTTGTTTATGCTGTTTTTAGACCCCTCTACCAAGAAATTTGTTTTACATGCACACGTATAAAAATTGCGGTTTTTATCCAACGCAATCATATGTTTGAACGTTGTTTTCAATTTAGACTTATATATATATTTTTCGTTTGGGCTTGTATTATATTTTCCTTCGGGTTTATATGATCCGTTCATCCTATTTCGACTCTTTAAAATTCAAGAGTCTATCCTAAATTGAGGTAAATTATATGGCCTTCCAAATACCGTTTCGATCCCTAACATCACTGAAGAGACATTAATTGTCGAAATCCGGATATGGTGTACAATTCTTTTTATAAACGTAACTGTTGTACATGCGGTAGTGATTTAACTTTCGGACTTAACGAAATATGTTCTAGCTCTTTCACGTACCTGTCTTGTTGTGTATCTTTGATATATAAATTCATAGCTAATGAAATTTCCTCTTTTGTTAGAATTGTCTTAAGTTTCCTGTCACCTTGTGAACTCCTAAGTCGATAGGGACGTTGTTTCTGACAGTTCTTTACAAATTTCAAGACGTTACCAGTCACAGTTAAAAGTTTATGTAGATCAGAATACCGGGAACATCTATGATTTGTGATATTCCCTGCGGATCACTTGGTATTTTGTCGTCAACTCTGTGTGTCTCTGTTCCTGTGATATTGGATAGCTGAGTGCTTATTTTCATATTTCCTGTCCACGAAGGCCATTTACGCTCGTCCGTTATACCACTGGGGTCCATTCCTCTATAGTTTCGAATCTTCAAATTGCGATGCAGTTATACCACGTGTTTGTAGGTCAGCTGGGTTCATTTCTGTGGGTACATATTTCCATTCATGAGTTTCATTTAATTCGTTAATTTCACTAACACGATTTTTTACTTGTTTAACGATTTCGATGAGGTGATCCAATGTAGAACTATTTGGCTATCGCTCCAAAATACTGCTCTTTTAATCCCTAAGTTTTGGATTACATCTTTTGAGAGTTGTGCTCCGATCACTGCAGCCATTAATTCTAATTTCGGTAAAGTTATGAATTTCAACGGTGCAACACGGTTCTTTGCGATAACAAGTGTCGATACTGTGCCTTAACTCAAGTAAACGGAAGCTCCGTATGCTTTCTGACTTGCATAAAAAAAAATGTGTAGAGTAGAGTCGCTGGTTTCCACGTCATGGTTTGCAAAATAGTATCTCTGTATTTTAAGTTTCGTAGTTAACTGTAAGATGTCATTCTTTACATAGGTCTATTCGTTTTCAATTTCTTTCGGTAGTGTCTCGTCCCATGCATATCCTTTTTTCCAAAGTTCCTGAATAAGTGTTTTTGCTCTAATGGTGATCGGTCCAAGTAGTCCTAACGGATAATAAATAGCGGAAGACTGTCGCAAAAGTTCACGTTTGGTCAATTGAGTGTCCATCTTTAATTGTTTCGTTTCGGCAAAGCTGAGTGTATCTAAGTCTGCATTCCAGCGCTTCCCCAATATTTTCGTCTCCTTGTCTGCATCTAGTACTTTTTCCGATAGTGCCAAATCTCTGAGTTTGTCGTTGTTTGACATCCACGACCGTAAGTTGAAGCTTCCCTGTTTGAGTAATTCTCTTGATTCATTGAAGTATTTCACTGCTGCCTCTTCGGAGTCCATGCTAGAAAATCACATTGTCAACATACAAGTTTTCTTGTAAAATTGAAGATACTTTGCTCGGATTCATCGATATATGTTTTAGCAAAGTGGCGTTTAAAATGAATTGCAAACACGTCGCTCCAAAAAGTACAACTTTACATCTGTACATTATCAATTCACTTGTTGAGTCAGTTGAATCGGACAACCAAAAGAATCTTCTGGCGTCTTGGTCTTCATTGTCAAGTCTTACTTGTAAAAATGCCTTTTCTATGTCTGTTGTGATGCCATATTTTCCTAATCTAAATCTTGTAAGAATGTTTGTTAATTTATTCAAAATAGGTGGTGCTGAAGATAGGCAGTCATTTAGGCTGGGTAAATCTGGATTTCCACGGCAACTGCAGTCATATACAATTCTAATAGGGGTCGTGTTTGATTCCTTCTTAACGGGATGGTGCGGTATGTAGTGGATTCGTCCATTTTCGCAATCGATTTCTGTAGAGGGTACCTTTTCTATGAAGTCTTTCGTCTCCTGTTCTTTGATTATCTTATCGTGTAGATTTATCATTCTGGGTCCTCCTTCTTGCTACATATTCATTAGTGGGTAACTCTGGGTGATCTGGTTTCCATGGTAGTTTTGCGACATATTTATTTTCCTTAAAAGTTATGCTAGAGTTTTGGTACTCAAGCAGTAGTTTTTGTACATTTTAAGTGTTTTTGTCAGAATCCGTCTTTAATCCGCTCGACTCAATTTCCCAAAATTTCTGTAAATCGCACTCCTCGGGTTTGTGCGCCACTAAAACATTCATCATCGTAGAGTTCCATTGTGAAGTGTATGTACCTGTGTTCAGTGGTCCTGATAGCAAATAACCTATTTTGGATTTAACCGCTGTTGGTCCGTCACCTCAAATAATTTCATCTTGTACTAAAGACCAGTAGTAATCTGCTCCAACGAGTAGTGAAATGTTAAACTTTTCATCCTGCGTGACTGGGTGGGCAAGTTGTAATCCTCGTAAATAGGACAAGCTGTTGATGTTTACCCGTTTCTTCATATGTATCGGTGGAACAATAATTACTTCCATTGGAACTCTTTCTTTTCTTTCGGTTTCAATCAATAATGTTGATTTCTCCAGGTTGCGTACCTCACCTTCTTTCCCGCCAAATGCAGAACTTTGTATGCTTACTATACCAGTTGGTTTGATATGGAGTTTTTCTATTAATTCTTGAGAAATAAACGAGTTTTGAGCGCCTTCATCGAGTAGAATGTTAGTCATAACACTTTCATCATGGTACCATACGAGCGCTACGGCAGTTTTTAATAAAATTTCGGTATGTGCTGTAACGACAGAATGCATAGCGGTGCTCTTTATTTCTATAGTACTTAGTACATCTTCATTGACAGGTTTTGTGAAGGCTTTATTTTCATTTGAAGTGGAATTTCTATTTTGTAAATTATTACGGCATATGCTGCTATGATGTTTCTTACTGCAATTTCGGCAACTATATTTTGCCTTACATTCCGAAACCTTGTGACTACCAAAAACAGTTAAAGCAAACTCGTTTTTCCTTTACAATTTGTGTGCGGGCGTTTATATCGGTGATCTTTGTACATTCATTTGGGTGATGCGAGTTTTGACAAAACAATCACGGCATTTTATTCTTAAATTTACCATTGTCGTTACTATCTCTAGACCCTGTTGACCTCCATCTTTTATTTGTAGTTTCTGTCACGAATGATCCGGTGGGGATAATATCGGTTTTAATAGCATTGGCGTTAGCGGCCTCTTGAATACAAATTTCTTTCTTTATGGCTTTGCGTAAACTTGAAATATCCCAATCATCATTACTGTGGTATCGAGAAATGTTTTGTCTGACAAAACATGGAAGTTTGTTAAGTATTAGTGGTATTAATAGGCTTCCGTACGATTCCTGATATCGACCAATTCCTTCTAGTTCACGTATATTAATTTCTATTGTGTCACTGAACGATTTCAGTCCCCTAACTCCGGGCTTTGGTGCAGGCAAATTTAGCAAGTTTTGCATGTATGCGTTAACTATTTTGTGTTGTTGACCAAATCTCTCGCTTGGTTATAATTTTTACTAGTAATTTGCATTCCCGATATACACTAACTAGCTTCTCCGTAAAGTTGTGATTTTAGATAGTTATATCGTTGCACGTCACTCAATGAAGGATTTTCATGTACGGCAGAATTATAGGAATCCCAAAAGGCTGACCATTCTAGTAGATTTCCGCCGAAAGTGGGTGGGCAGGTTGAGTTTAGGCAATTTGTTATAATGACTTGACGATACAGAGGTGGGCATGCTTGACTGGCTTACACTTGTTTGTTCTGAGTTGAAATTTATCGGATTTGAATGTTCTTGCACGCTGGGGTTAGTGTATATGAAATCTGGTGCTTTAGGGTTTAATGCGGATTGATTTTTTGACAGACTAACTTCTTTGATATGTTTCTCAATTTTCGTAATTCCAATTTGTAACTCTAACTCGTATCTGTCAACTTCTTCAATTTCTTCGTCGAGGTCTTCTTCTTCTTCAATAGTTTCCAAAATCATCTCATTAAGATCGGACAATGTTTTTTGCTTGGTTTTGATAAGCTCCATCATGGATTTCAGGTTGACAACATCTTGTTGCGGTTCTTCTGTCGGGTCTCCTTTTTCAGTAGCTTTATTACTGCTCGTCGATGTGCTGCTCGTACTGTTTTGAGTTTCGAACTCATCTCTATTTGTTTTTGTCACGGCACCAATATCTTGAGGGTTATTAAAATTGTTAGACTTGTGAAAGAAAATAACGTCTTGCTAGTTGAGATGCTTTATGATTCTAAGATGATAAGATACGTAACAATAGCGTTACGTTACATTACAATAGTGTGCGCGAAATTACGGGAAACAATTACATAACATAACGTTCTAAAGTCTCTTAGCCCATATTCACGACATAGATCTTCAACTGTTTCGATTTTTATAAATCCTTGGCTTTCAAATATTCGGCTTTGAGCGTTCCTAATGAAGGTAAATCCAGAAAAGCGCTTCAGACGCATTAAATTATTAAGGCATTGTTTTCATTTCAACTCATACATTATAAATCAACATAATATACACGTATAATCCATATACGTAGATAAATGTGAATTATATTTAAACTTTAATATATAAAGATAAGCAAAATGAGACTAAGCCAATTACAGACTTTTTGAATCTCAATTAAAAACCCTGAATAAGAAATTACTTAACTTTTCAAGTAAAAATTATCTTTAGTGGTCATTAACTATACAAATTCTGATTTGCAGTCTTAGTTATTAGAACTGTAACAGTGTGCGTCAGTTTGTGCATACAATAATTCACGAAAGTTATTGTATGATGACAGTTTATCAAAAAATGCAATTCATCTTATAAATCATTATGAGAACAAAATTTGCAAGTCCTCTATGACCTATTTATAGTTTTTTTTTTATGTCGCTCTTTTTCACCTTGTAATTGGATTGCACTTTTACGAAATTAACATAATATTTGTCTTTACTAAAAACTTTAAATATCAAAATATATTTTTCATTTGAAATCCAGCTTTCTTGTAACAGGATCCTTTTCATTGTACCATGCTATCAAACACAATGTCCCTAACTTTTTCATGATAATTTTTTTTAATCTATTAACACTCTATTTCTTTTAATTCAAGCTTTTCTAGAATAAATAGAGGACTACCATTTCACAGTGTTATTTGCATGCATATTCTTGTTAAATATAAAAGATTTTTTCAATAAATTTTAGTTACAAAGATGTAATCTATGTAAACAGCTTATTATAGATATAACAATCTAAAAATATAAAGGAGATCTTTCTGAATCTGATAGTACAGCAACATTTGTACTTTTATTATTTACGCATAAAATACGCTAACACAACATTAAGTTTGTTTTATCGGCAACATTGTAACGGTATATTTTTCCAAGTATATTTATAGCATCTTTTTTATAAGATACAGAGTCAGTTTTAAGTACTCTCGATATATCTGATCCATTCAAAATAAAAGGTTTAAACATGTGTAAATGTCTTGTAAAACTAGCAGCTTACCCAGATAAAAATCTACTAAGTTAAGATGAAACTTTTAAAGATTTATTAAATGGGACTTCTTTATGTACGATTAAATAGGCCACTTGACTGGAATATAACTCTAAGGTATTTATATCTGAAATCAGTTTCAATTAATTAATTCTTAAAACAGAATGGTCCTTGTATATGACGTCCACCTTTACTAAAAACTAAAACTTTAGGTTTTTAAAATTCACATTTTAATAACATGTATCACAGTAGGATTTCAATGTATTCTAGCGCTTATAAAGTCTATCAGCCGATTTTGAAAATTACAATAATGACATCATCTGCATACATAAGAGAGTCAATGCGACTAGTGCAGAGTTATAAACTTTCAGGATAGCGTAGTAAACAGTTTGGTAGAACGTTTATGAATAGATTAAAAAGGGTGAGGTTTAAAACATTCCCTTGTCTAAACCAAATATACGAGTTGAAACATGGACATAGTTTTTTATTTACTTTTACTATAAAATTATTGAGAGTATACATGTGTTAAATTATACGACAGACTTTTCTTCCAATGTCTGACCTCAGCATTATGATACAAATGTAAGGATAGCTGGGTTTATCACAGTATCAAAAGCTCTTTTAAAGTCAATAAAATATGCATAAAATTTTCTTCCCTGTCAATAAGTATATTTATCGATTAAGTGTTTGAGGATAAACATGTGGTCTGCTGTCCTTGATTTAATTTTAAAGCCAATTTGGCAATCGCTAGATATATTTCTCTTAACTTAATAGTTTGAAAGTCTTGTATCAATAACAACATAGAATAACTTTCCAATACATACCTCTGAAATTTTCAGGGTTATCTATATCTCTTGATTTATGTCTAGTTGTGCAGTATCTTTCACATCATAGCTTTTGATAAATAAAGATGAAATTATGGGATAGCAAAAAATAAAATAACAAAAAACTACCGAACTCCGAAGAAGGTTCCAAGCGGAAAGTCAATAAGCAAATGGCACAATCAAAAACTCAAACACATCAAACGAATAGATAACAACTGTCATATTCCTGACTTAGTAGAGGCATTTTCTTACGCAAAAAAGGTGGATTAAACCTGGTTTTATAGCTAGCTAAATATCTCACTTGTATGACAGTCGCATTAATTTCCATTATATTGCCACAATCTGTGAACAAAACAAACAACTACAATAGGTCATCATCTGCTATTATAAATTATACGAGAAGAAATCAATCCGTATCATGCCAATGGCTAGTTTTAGAATAAATGTGTTTATTGCTGATGGAAAGACTCTAGTGAGTCAAAAAAGGCAATCATTAATGACTTGACAACGTTATGTATTAATTCAAGCGTCCCAAAAAATGAGATTATTAAATATTTAAAAAGAACAAAATATGTAAAAACATACATTTTTAAAAAAAAAGATCATGCCATGCCCGCTTAAATTTACTTATTCTAAAATGTAAGATCCTTGAGTTCCGAAACACGTGTTCAGATAAATATATTCGAACATCCTCTTCATTTGAACATTGATGGATAGTTGTCTCATTGGCACTCATACCACATCTACTTATTTCCATATATGTATAACATTAGATACGATATCATGTATTAGCTTCAACATTTGAAGCATTATTTTGAAAAATGCAAATACAAATCTTGTTTTCAATTGAAACGTCATGTAACGCTCGTTGGTACTTCCGCAATATATGAGCAAAACATAAAATGATACATATTTTACCGCGAAAAATGCGATTTTCAAGAATTAATATTTCTAATATTCATGCTATATCCGAAATACTGAGTTTATGATATGTAGATATACAGTATAGATTGTGTATATATTGTTTTATTAGTCTGAAGGACGTGTATTTTCTGTTTGTTTATAAATTATATGGGTGTCTATAAAACGCACTAAATCGAAATTTGCGATTTTTTTTATTCTAAACATGCTGAGCTAAAATCAAAATATAAAAGTTTGTACTTTAAATCGATTAAATAATACAACAACTATTGTCTTTTCCCGCCACTTCTTCTGTTCAAAGTCAGGAAATTGGCAGTTATTAACAGACTACTCGTATCTTTGTATGTTGGCGTTTGCTTTTGTTGTAGTTCAGTGTTTATGTTGTTCCATTGTTTTCCTCTAAGAGTTGATGTGTTTCCCTTGGATTTAGTTTGTTACCCGGATTTGTTTGTGCTTCGTCAAATAATTTCTATTGAGCAGCGGTATTCTTATGTTGCCTTTATTCTCTACACGGCTGTCATTCGGTATATAGAGAAAATGATTATGAAACAGTACGAACCGGTGGTCAAGAACTGCGATTGGATTGTGAAAGATCTTATATAGCTTTTTATAGGATCGTCAAAGGAAGTCTTATCGATAAGACACATGCAACGTCAGGAAAGTCTCTTCTTTAGTTTTATTTGGTTTAATATATCATTTTCTACATAAGAAAATGACTGTACCAAGTCAGGAATATGATAGTTGTTATCCATTCGTTTGATGTCTTTGAGCTTTTGATTTTGCCATTTGATTACGGACTTTCCGTTTAGAATTTTCCTCGGAGTTCGGTATTTTTGTTATGATGCTTTCCATGATACCAAAACCCTAACGGGAGGAATTGTGCTTGAATTCTTATATTATGAGGACTTATATACCTATATGGAGTTATTATCTTTCAGAACAATAGGTCATTCTTTCGAAGATTCAACCCGGACGATATCAAATTTCAATGAAATATGCTTCAAAGCATATAATAATGACCTATTTAAGGTCATTATTTCCCTGGTTAAAATGCAAAATATAATTTACTTAAACATTTAATTTGTTTGGTGGTTATCGTGTGTTGATGCCAATTGAGAGTTTACTTAACCAGAATTCCATCTTTAATAGGTTGAAGGCAGAAACAATCCTTTCCTCCGTTTATAAGACTGAAATACAAAAAATTCGTCGTTGACGTACATTTTAACTTTCGAAACAAATGATGTGAAGTTTTGTTAATTTACCGCTACAATAAAGAGACATTATGTCACAAGGGCGGATCCAGCCATTTTTAGGTAGTTTTCCAACCATATGTCCCCGTTCAAAAGCATTGATTGTCAAAAAAAGTATTGTTCCAATTCCCAGACTCCCCCTGGCTTGTTGTAAACGTTTTCATAACACTTTTAAAGCAAGCCAGATTTTACACATTCGTGTGTAGGATTTTGAAAATCTGATGATTGATTCACACTGGATTGAAAATATTATTTTGACCTACATGTATAGATATTCTTTTTTCGTGTTACATGCACATTTATCACGATTTCGTGCCAGTTCTTAACTTTTCACATCTATATATACCTTTTACTCTATCAAATGATCAAGTGACGAAATATCATTATTTTCTTTTTAAATAACAGTCACGTACCTTATAGTGGGAGAGGTGCGGGGGTTAAGATTAAATCTTGTTTCTCAGTTTTAAAAAATATAATGCCTTTCAAAAGAACAGTGTTCTGA